CCGCGACTAACTTTTGGTAATTCGATTTCTTGAAGTTGAAATGCTCTTCTTATTGTATTTTCGGCAACATTCAATTTAATTTTACCATTTTCCAATTCAACTTCCTTTCCCACACTTTTGTAATATTCACCTTCTTCTATTCTTCTTTTAGCTTCAAATAGCCATTCTCTGTTTATAGATTTGGCAGTAGTCATAAAAGTGGTCCTTCTTTTGTGATAAGATTCAAATTTGAATGTGGATGATAAATAAAAATCAAAAATAATTGTTATAATTTAAATGAAGAAGTAATTTAAAACGATTTTATTTATGATCAAATTTTATATATTTTTTTGGATCAAATCCATTTTAATAGAATTTATATACTATTCATCTATTAGTAAACACTACCGTATATTATTTTTAAGCTATCTTATTTTTTGAACTTTTATTCAAATCTTTGGTCGCAAGAAGAATTGCATGATAAATAAAAACATTTAATCAAAGTCAATTTTATTTTTCATATTCAAATGGACTGAGTGTTAACATTTAACATTTTTTGCTAATTGTCGTCAAAAATTAGGCGTAAAGCAAAAATTGATATTTCATATGGTTTTATGATAGATAAGCATTATATTCCCACTCATTATATTCGTAAATTTTGAGGTTTATCCTTCGCTTTTAAGATCATTGAATTTGATTTTTATATAAAATAGTTATATATTAGAAAATAATATGAGTTTATGTGATATTATTTTTCAGAAGATTTCATTCTATATGCCTATGAAAAGTACTCTCAAAACTAACTTTTTCCTAATTATAATTAAATCTAGAATATTGTATTATGCTTAGTGTTATTTCATTTTTCTCATTCAATTTAGAATTTACAAATGTCAAAAATTGAGAGCTGTCACTTTTGATGAATTTCTGTTTATTACATAGCATTAATAAAAAAATCATTTGTTCTGATTAATATTTATCCAATAATAATATATATTCATTTTTGAATTTAATTAGCTTTTTTAAAGCTTAATATTTAATAATATTATTATTCAACATTCTTAATAAAATAAGATATATGCTTTATGTCTAATATATGTTTTGTAGAAATTTCGAGGAAATATCAAGGTTTCAACATCACTTCACTTCCACCATTTCGTCTTACGAAAGTTTAATTGTATGATTAAATACTTGGGCCATTCTAATATTTCATCTTTTTGAAATCGATTTTGCTCAATAGGATATGTATTAAAATATTTTTCCAATGCATCCAATAAATTATCCGTGCCATTTATTGATATATCAAGAAAGTCGTTTTGTTTTGTTTCTATCGGGGTAATACGATGTGAAAAGTGACAAAAATATACTATGATTTATATTTCATTGTATAATAAAGTCGAGAAGGGAGTCCTAACCTTAAGAAAGGGCTCTCTTCTCGACTTTCTGCTGCAATCTCACTCGAATTGCGCGTATATACTGCTTCTTTCATTAGAAGTAGTATATACGCGCAACAATATGCCATGGCAAGTGCACTTGTCGCCACTTTTAATGTTTCTCAAATGCAATGCGGGAAGGAGTGGCAATATAGTACTTGGGTAGTTGTGGAGTTATGTGTTAGGAGAGGGAACAGGACAAATTTGCCACACGGCACTTTTTTTTAAAAAAAATTAATGGAGCGGAGCGATACTCTGCTGCAGGAGCCCCAAGGCTCCCAATCATTACGAAAGGGAGCCTCAGGGCTCCTGAGAATCCATCAGCAGAGGCCTTTTCATTTGGCCTCTGCTGATCAAAGATTCGGCGAAGCCATTCTTCGTCTCAGGAGCCCCAAGGCTCCCAATCATTACGAAAGGGAGCCTCAGGGCTCCTGAGAATCCATCAGCAGAGGCCTTTTCATTTGGCCTCTGCTGATCAAAGATTCGGCGAAGCCATTCTTCGTCTCAGGAGCCCCAAGGCTCCCAATCATTACGAAAGGGAGCCTCAGGGCTCCTGAGAATCCATCAGTAGAGGCCTTTTCATTTGGCCTCTGCTGATCAAAGATTCGGCGAAGCCATTCTTCGTCTCAGGAGCCCCAAGGCTCCCAATCATTACGAAAGGGAGCCTCAGGGCTCCTGAGAATCCATCAGTAGAGGCCTTTTCATTTGGCCTCTGCTGATCAAAGATTCGGCGAAGCCATTCTTCGTCTCAGGAGCCCCAAGGCTCCCAATCATTACGAAAGGGAGCCTCAGGGCTCCTGAGAAACCTCTTTGAGAAGGTTTTCTTTAAGAAAACCTTCTCAAAGATGATTGTCAGCATTCACTCAAAATCTACCAAGAGTTTCAAAGTTTCAAATCTATCTGAAATGAAGCTTTGAATCTCTTGTATATCTAATTGTAGAGGTACCTTTTCAAAATGTCTTCTATTGATTAAATTTAATCAGTAAAAGTCATTTTGAAAAGGTACATCTCTATAATTGCTATTGAGCATTCACTCTTGGAACCTTGGAGCTCTTGTGTAGTGCATGAAAACTCCAAGATTCTAGAATAAAACATATATCATAGACATAATTTCTTCAAATATAATTTAAGGTTATTTTTTAAAAAATTAGAACAGCGTAATTTAAGGTTATTGAAAAGTGACACTTGACAAATTTATCCCGCACTCTTCAAAAATAAGGAAATTTTGATAAATATCCTCATCGCTATTATCATAAAAGATTCAATATCCCTTTCGATATTTAATGACAAATTTGAAAAGGTGTTTGAAATTCTTTCGGATTTTGTTGAATTTAACCCAAAATTTATTATTAATTGTTTACAAGAAATTTTATTTAACTCTTCTTGTAAAGAAAACTTTGCCAATATTTTGAATGCATTTGAAAATTCCGAGCTTAGAATATATTTGGATGAATGCGAAGATGAAATCGATCCTGAAATTTTTGACTCTCTCAAAAATATGTATTCAATTTTAAATGAATCTAATTCTCATCAATAATAACATATGAATAAAAAATAAATGGATTTAATTTTTTTTATCAGTTTCAATAGATTACAGTTATTTTTATTTTCTACAATATCTCATTACCAAATCGTTTTAACTCTTTGTATATCAAAGAATAATAATAAGTGACCTGTAATAACCATACTCATAATGGATTAGACCTCAAATTATTTAAAATGTCAATTCAATATTATTAAATTACAATTTCTTTTATTCTAATAGATTTTAACTAGCCAATCATGATTACAAATATTGTAGCCTTCATTAACTCATAATATCGAAGAATATAACTTATATTCATGGACAATTTGTGATTAATTTCCAATAATATATAAAACCGACTCAAATTAATCATGTTGGCATTAGCGCGCATCGATGCTCAATCTACCTGTAGTATTATAAGCTTATATTCCTATTTTTCAGCATTAAAATTGTGAATTACGTAATTTTGTCATAGTTTTACGTAATTTTAATTTTTTTTTGATAAGAAAAAAATGACTTTAAGAAAAAACGAGATCACTCATAATCTTTTTCTCAGAAAACTGCAGAGTATACAACAAATGTACTCAAACGTGCATTAAGCACAATACCTGGTCCCCATTTCGCTCTATGGACCGATAATGGTACAAAAAATAAAGAAAAATTGCAAAAACGTTCCCACTTTTTGAGAGGGATGTTTTGCAAAATAATTTTATGGACATCTCTGGAAAGTTTCATTTCAGTTTGATAATATATCCAACACCTATATAGAAGAGCCTTGCTGATTTGACCTGAAAGAGCGAAAGTTAGT